TTTCCAGCCGTCTCAGCTGGAAGGTGCTCTCCTCAATTTCCCTCTCTAATTCGACCAGACTCCTCTCCATGGTGCCATTCTACGGCCGTTTTAATCCCACTTCTGACACCAATGTGACGACCGCTAGCTCGGTTGAGAGGAGCTGGCCCGACCCTGTCCTATACTGGGACAACTAACTATCCAGCTATGCGCTGGCACCTATGCTGACAGTGAGGAGAACACCTTCTTTGTTTTTTTGGATTTTATTAGACAGAATAGAGAATGCGAAAACAGAACTGTGGTTTACCTGGCACCGTGTGCTCATCAGGAAAATAATGAAAAAAGTAAAGCAGGACAAACAGTAATGACACTCTCTCAGGGCAACCCGAGTTCCGCGCCAATAGAATCTAAACAACACGCCCACCTGTCATCCCTCTTATCTCCTCCCACACCTGTTCCTCCCCCCCATCCCACATTGGCCAGAACAGCGCGGCATTTTGCAGAAAACAGCGGTAACCAATACATGAACAGCCTTCAATAACATTGTCAAACCCATTCGCACACAACAGAACACATGAACATCAGCGGCCGGTCAGGGTCGCCACAGTATGTTTTATTCCAGGGCAACAATTCACACTCCAGCAGATAGCAGATACAACTTCAACTTTGCTTAATATTTTGTTTCTTACATTGTCAGTCCTGGACTTCCACAGTTTTAAGATTCAGCAGCAAAGCAGAGATAGGAGAGGATGCAACTGTAAACTTGACTGGGGGGTGAGTAGCAGAATGTCACAGGGTACCCTTTTGTTATCTGTATAACATCTTTTTGCTCACTGTCTGCGCCCTGCACGGTAAAGCTGTAGTTATACATCCTGACAGCTTAACATGCTGACAACAGTAATTCAAAAATACCCAGTTGAACGACCCTACCATGAACCCCGGAGCCGCCTGGATGTCTTTAGTGGGAACCGTCAGGAGCAGGATTGCAACAAGTCCAAACACCAGCAGTGCGATGGAGACGACAGGATGAGCGGAGCGCTGAGCCATGAAGTGAAAGTGAGAAGTGCAGCTCCTCTCTGCACCTGGTGGAAATCTGAGCGTTGATGCAACAGCGGCCAAGTGGGAGAAGTGGCTGATGGCCTCTCGATGGCCAGGCGTTATCACAGCCTGCCAGTGCTTCACGCTTCAACTACTGCCTGCCTCCTGTTTTCCATTCCACTTGAGATAAGCACAAACCTGACCTGAATTTATGTTCTCTGAGCACAGCCAAGCCCTCCTCCATGAATACCTCTCCTTAGCCAGTGAATGAAACCAGCTCCAAGGCTACTGGTACCACTGAGGGAAAATGTTATTACGGCCCGTTCATTCACATTCAAAGGTCAGTTTGGGCGGAGCTACATTGTAACTTCTGTCCAATCATTTCCTTTTTTGGGGGGTGGGGGTAGGGGGTGGGGACAACACACACAAAGGGAGACCTAAACTGGCAGACGTCCAGATTCTTTTCATCCTGTATTTGCATGTCAATGGGTGCATCTTAAAATCTGACTTGCAAACTGACACCTCATTTGAATGCAGGTTCTTTCATAATGAGTGGGACACTACAAATAAAATCTTTTTAACTGCTGATCAGAGGAGAAGAGCGCCTGAAAGCATACTATAAACCAGTAAAATATAGAAGAGTAATGTGAAATAATGAAATAGCGAGACCCCGAATAGTTGCAATAAACAAATTAAATACATTACATTATTACTAGAATACATAGTTACATCCATAAATGCTGCTTAAAACTATACTGTGCCTAAAGGAAGCCCTATGTCAACAGTGTCCAGAAGCACATGTTAGGTATTTTTAGTCAGATAAATATTGGATAGATACTTTATGTATTAGAAATGTTTAGTGGAGAGAGGATGTCTAGTTAGACTGTTAAATGCTTAGTCATGCTTATGAGTTTCTACAGGGTACATCTGGTCATGGATAACTAGAGAGAAGAGTTGATGACTATCAGCAGACAGGGTGTTTAATATTATTGTTATGACGTGTATAACTGTAGCCTTAGCCATAATATGTTCTCATGTTTAAGCCACGACATGTACTAGAGGTCGTGAGAATGTTTTTAGCTACACACCACTTAATCAACAGACAGACACACACACACACACACACACACACACATTGATTTACTTCATGTTTTGACTACTGCTACGTGCAGTATGGAGGTGCAAGATACTTGAGCGTGTAATGTTAATTTTACCTGTGATCCTTTGAATAAATCAGCACTGTTTTGTAGTTACTTGGACTGCCTCGTCTCTCAGAGTCAGTATGGTAAAAAGTACGGGGTACAACACACAGTCGACTGCTCTGGGCTCAGAGGCATCTGGGATGGACCATCACACTGTGGAAACATGTACTGTGGTCAGATGAATCAGCGTTTCGGGCCTTTTTGGAAGACAAGACCAAAGAGGAAAAGGATCATCCAGACTTGTTACCAGCAATAAGCCCAAAAGCCAGGGTCATGGTCTGGGTTTGTGTCAGTGCCCTTGGCCAAGGTCATTTACACTTCTGTGGTGGCTTAATTAATCCTGAAAATTACAGAGAGCAACATGTGCTGCCTTCAAGACAACATCTTTTCCAGGGACGCCCATGCATATTTTAACAAGACAATGCAAAACCTCATATTGCCACATTACCAAGGCCTGGCTGTGGAGGGAAAGGGTGTGAGTGCTGGACATACTGTTTACATGTTTTACTATTGTGATTGCACTGATTGAAACATTAAATATAGCAAATTAAAGCCAAAATGGGAATATTTGAAGTATAAAATCTAAATTGTATATAAGAAAAAAATCCTAAAACGTGTAAAAAAAACAAACAAACTTAGTACTCAGAATCACATTAATCTCTCTGAGTATGACAGCGTGTCTGCTGTGATCAGGACAGAGGGCCAACGGGCCAGAACAGATGTTCCACCTAACAAAATCCTGTGACCCATCTCTGCTTCTACAAGATAGGTCTTTAAGTAACAGTGACAGCCATGATTTGATTAATGATGACACTTGTGATTTAAAGGTTATGCTGCCTACAACAGCGGGTTGGTGTTCCACTGAGATACCCAGGTTTGTCATATTATTAACCTTTACATACTGTATGAGGACTGCTTAAAAAAATGCGGGTTTTGAATTAAACTAAAGATACAGTATGTTTGTTCATTTTAGATGACCAATTCCCCCAAACTAATGAAGCTTTTAGCAAAAGTTACCTCATAACCTCATTTTGCCATCACTAAGGCTCCATCTGTCTTCTATCATCCAATCATTTCATTGGGTCGGTGCACAAGAATTAGCCAATGATCACCGTTTCCCAAGGATATTTTGAATCACTGACACCTACTGTGTCTTTGTTGCCATTGCCTTGCAGCTTTGCCCCTCCACTACCGCCAGTGTTAAGGCTCCAGGGGGATATTGGACCTGACTGCTATTTATAGGGCTCCATCCCTATACATCTCTGCTTTAACTGGTTCATTGCCAAAGGTCTAAATAAAGTTCCTGCATTCATGTTAAATTGTGTCTTTTCTGAGTGAGCTGTAACAGAGTCTTGTTCTTAAACTGCATGTTCATCTTTTTTAATCATTCTTAGGCTGGTTTTCTCTAGTTTTTAAAGCATTATTCACATTTATTTTCTCTTTTTATACCACTGTAAATTGAACATCTTTTGGTTTTGAACTCTTGGTTGGACCAGACAAGTTATTGGGATCTGTGATATGACACTCATTTTTCAGTCTTTAGTTTTTTTTTTTTTTAGACAATACAATACAAGGTAACAGATTAAATAATAATGTACAAACATTAGCTGTAGTCCTAAAATAAATAAATCACAGGACTGATGAGCCTTGGCAATGTAAAGACATTTTATTTACAGTTATATAAACAAGATGATTCAATGATTCAAGATCTTTCCTGAAAAAAGGTAAGAAAAGCAAGTGATCCTCCCTCAAGGGGTTTTGTGCTTGTGTGCGCATGTGTGTGAGTGTTAACGCATGCCTGTGTATCACAACTGTTGTGTGTGTGTGTGTGTAACATTCTCAGCTGCAGTCATAATACAGGCACGGTACAGTCTCCTGAAACCCCCCTCCCTAACAAGACTTTATTTAAATATCATTTAACTTGAAGCGCTTCACACAGCCCAGCTAACTTTACACAGCAACAACATGCATTCACAAACAAACTAAAGCACTGATAATAACTCATAAGCATGCATAGGCCAGAATGAAAACATGATCAGAAGCAAACTCTTTGTTCAAGTTTAGAAAACAAATTGTTTTAGCACTTTGTGTGGTTGTTGAAAACTGTCATTATCTTTCTTATAATGACTTTGTATGTGGAGAAGTTAGTGTGTCTGACTTATGTTATAATGGTTCTGTTCCAGTTTCTTGTTAAGTCTTTTTTCACTGTTTGGGTTCCCCTCCTTAGCATAAAGTGCTATGCAGTGCCAGACACCAGCATGAACAGCAGTGGTTTCTCACCTCCAGACAATGGGAAACGGCCTGTTTTTGCATCTAACCAAGATCTGCACACGAGCTCACAAACTGAGCAACGCTTTTAATTCACTCGGGTTCCTTCATGCAAAAGTTCTCCAGCACTGCACAGGGTTGGAGTTTTGCATGAAAGACCGAGTGCTGGTTGGGTGAAAAACCTGGCCCTTTGATGCAACCCCTTCAAGACTGGAAATGAGAAAGACTGCTGTGGCAGGACAGGGGAAGAGAGGTGTACCCAAATGCAACATGGCTTACCGCTAAGCATCTCAAACAGGTTTGGACAGAAATACACCAGCCTTACTCAGTTACTTCATCAGATTTCAAACGAATTTGTCATATCACTCATCTCTTGCTATAAGTAGAAGTAAAGCTGAATAGATTTTCTTTAATAAACTGAGCATTTACACATAAACCTGGCAGATTGGTATAAAATTAAAGGGGAAAAATACAATTTAAACAGCAGTATCTGGTATATATCCTCCAAAATATTCAATATCTTCATTCGCATACATAAAGCTCTTATTCCTATACAAACACACACGCTTCCATCATCTTGACTGGCAGACAAGACTAGTCATATCCTCATTGTTAGTACCATTACTAGTGCTTCCCAATGAAAGAAACATCATCTAAAAACTTCTAAAATGTAGATAAAAACACAGGTAGTTCCGCTTAAAAATCCTTGATATCCATTTAAGCTTACAGTACGTCTTGTATTGCAGTATATGTTGTTAAGAAATACTAGATATTACTACTGTATAGAAGCCCTAAATGCAAGGGATATGTCGAGTGCAGTACTTGTACCAGAACTGGTTTATCGATAACCTTAACCCAACTAAACCTGACTTGCTAATTGCTAGACATGTGGTCTGAAAAATGGGAAAACATCTAACATTAAGTACATTTCTGTGAGTAAATGGGCAAAAACAAGGTTAAATAAGTTAGCTAATAATATACAGAAGGAAAAGATTGTATATGCGAGTCAGATGGGTTCTTCTGTGCATGCTCATAGACCCTACGAACATCTAACGCCAGGTAATCCTGACTTTAAAAAGGTGCACGTTCAGTGTTTTCAGCCACTTTTTCAGCAAGCAGTTTCCTCACAAGCTCTGCTGGCAGGCGATGAAAAAGCTTCAGCTTTGACAGAGAAGGGAATAAGGAGATAGGTTCATCCTCGCTTCCCCCTCCACTTCCTCTCTTCCATACTCATCTCATTTCTTCTCTCGTCATGGAGCAAATGTCACTGTCTCCCTCTCTTTAAACCACAGTGCTGACAGACGGGTCAGACAAGTTGAGTTGGCCCGTGATGTCAGTGGGTGGGTACTGCTGCAGAAGTAAGGAGAAATGGGGGGAAAGGAGACACATAGCACAGTGTCAGCATAAAGCAGCATTTGGCAGCTTTTTTAAAAAATGTTATTAATTATCTAAACATTCATTATGATTTTAAGAACACCTGTGCTTCATTTCTGAAGAAATTCAGAAGCAGCAGGGTTCTCTAACCTCTCTCAGGCAGACCGTATTTTTTTTGTTCTCTGAAGTCTGGACCTTTGTAAAGCTGTTTGGTTCTGCCTGAGCTAGGCCACACATAAGGTCCTGTGAGTCTATACAACAAACAACAGCAGATCTGAATCAGACATAATTTCTTTTTGATCTTTACAACATGACGAGGTGATAATTTCCTGCCATGGGTAAAATGGACAGCTCATTTATCTCCTCACTGTCATTTGCATGCATGCAGACAAGGCGGCTTCTCTAATTTTAGCATCTCAGGAGGAGAAGATAAATTTTAGGCTGATTTCAAAGTGCTGTTGTGTCGGAGTCTTACATCCGATCCTTGCTTCACTATGCTTCTTTTAAAGCACAGAGCGTTGAATTGTAGGCGTCTACAGTGCTGAGAGGGGAAGAAAGATATCAATTCAAAGCAGGCGCTTAGTTTCTATGGCAACAGTGGTTTTGCTTTTAGCCGAGTCTTTTCAGTATGTTTGACAGCAGTAAGCCATATTTTTTTTATAATGCTGAGGCTGCTTTTTCTGCAAATGAACAAAAATATAGAAAACTGATGAAACAATAACTCAAACATTATAACATCTTAACATTATAAATTAAGCCTATACTGGGGATTGGCTTCACATCTTGGATCACAGTGAAACTGAGTGAAGTAATAAGCTATGTTCTTTGTAATCTAATTTATTTCCAATGTACCAGTCCTAATCCCAATTCAGGATGCTGGAAAACCCTGATTCATAAGATCAAATTCACAATAAAACATTTTTTGTTAGAACATTAATTGCATTACAATTGAATATTATATTAGCTGTGCCTTAATGTACCCATCTCATACAGATTGTTCTTTTCAATTGTGATTTAAGTGTTTCTTGTTTTCAACTGATAGAGCCAGTACATTCAAGCCTGTGGGCTTCAGAAGCTGTTGTGATGCAACTAACATGTTGACAGATGGGGCAACATCCAGACTGAAAAGTAAAATGTGAGATTTTCTAAATAAATTGGAGTCAGAGTGGATGTCCCTCATCCCCTTGACCTGCGAATTGCATCATCATATGGCTTACAGCCTCCATCTGTGTCGCCTTATGTCTTGTTCCTTGAGGGCCTGCTAACAGCACACCCTACAGGGGTCAAGTGGACCAGCAAAAGACAGACACTTCACTGACATCATAACCACAGTTCATGTTTAAAAAGCTACTTATTCAATGCAACTACCGTGATCCTACACTATAATTGCTACCTCTTCTACTGTTACTACATCTATGACAGTTACAATAATTGGCATGCTTGCAGAGGGAGAGAGGAGCAGTGTGGCATGTGGGTGAGGGACACTGACACTCAAGTCCACTGATATCCATTAATATAAAAGAAGAACATTTATATAAAATCAAAATAATGGTCAAAGACTGAGAATGGCAAATCCTTCAGTTAGAGCATCTTTTTTTAAGTCACACTAAATCCTGTTTTATTTTTCCACTTTGAGCCATATTTTTTCGACTAGGGCTCCCAAACCAGCATTCGAACCCCCATACAGACATACACTGACTGGCCATTTTAATAGTCACACCTGTACAATTGTACGCACTACAATGCAACACTTCCACCTTAACATCTGTGTTTATGAAGCTCAAAATGTAAATTTTTGGTGAAACTGTCAAATATACAAATTCAGTTATGTTTATTATTGAGGTCATAGCTAAAGGTGATGTTGTACTGGACTACACTACATTCAGAGGTGTTCCTAATATTTTGACCCTCTCATGTATGCAGCTGGGGAGGACAAAAATATAGACATCCCTCTGAATATAATGTAGTTCAGTACAACACCACCTTTAACTATGACCTCAGTAATAAACATATCATTGAATTTATACTTTTATCACAATTTCACCAAAAACTGAAACATTCTGAGCTTCATAAACACAGATGTTAAAGCGGAAGTGTTGCACTGAAGTGGCCAGTGAGTGTATATTTGCAGTGGTGATCCTACACTTCTTCTCTTCAAACAAGATCAGTTTCGATTGGGAAACCTCCAGGGGAGAGTAAAAGTGGTTTGGTCCAATGCAGAAACAAAGTAGAAAGACAGGAAATCAAACAAAAATAGAGACATTTTTACTTTGTGACCTGTTAGCTTAGCAGCTATGTGCTACATCTCCCTGAGGAAACACATTCAAAAGACAATGTTAGAACAGAAGCCTTTCCGCAGAGATGGTTGCTGGGTTTTCATTTCTCTTCAGAGGCCCATGCCAGATTTGGTCAGCGACCAACTATGTCTGGCAGAGCAGCTGGGCATAACCAAGTTCATGACTATGGGTCACTGGTTTGTCTGAGCACTCCAAACTTGCAGAGTACAATCTCCCAACTGCAACGCACAGGGCTTTTCTACTGAACTGTGAAGGAATGGAGGGAACCTGACACTCTCATTGTGCTGCAATAAAGGAATCAAGCAAAAATATAAAGATGGTGTAAAATGTGATTTATTTTTAGCTTGTATTTATGCTTGTCTTGTAACACAATGAGAGTCCAAGGCTTCATTGTGTTTGTAGCCCACAGAAACAATAATTAAAACACAAAAGAAGACTGTTGTCACCACCTGAAAATATACCCTGAAAGAAACATTCACAGTTCAGACCACAAAGACACTGAAAAAAAACAAGAATTATGAGAAACAAAATATGACAAAGCAAAAATTGACTAATAGAAATCCATGAGTGTAAACCTGAAATAGGCATGTTGATAAATAAGACACTTGTTTTCTTCTCAGGAGGACTGGTCATCACGACTACCTTGGAAATGAATTTTGGAAAAATGACAACACCAGTGCATGCTTTTCAAAACAAAAGCAAACCAACAGCAGCTGAAACCCAAACGGAGGAAGTGCGGGCGGGACTGATGCAAAGAAAGATGATTATAAAAAGGATCAAGCAGTCAAAAGGACAAGACAAATATATTAAAACGCACGCTTGTATACAATACACACACCACAATGCCACCAAATAGGGACATAATCACCAGAATCCACATCCAAACCAGAGGCAGGGAGGAAGAGCAGCCCAAGACAAAACACCACTGGCAGACTGCTTGCTTTTGTCGCCCCCCTCCTCAAGAAGCCACTAATCCAATCAAAAAAAGTCAACCCAAAAAGTCCTGGATGTTTCCTTCTCCCCAAATTCAGAGCCCAGCTCCTGGCCTGACCTGACCTGAGTTTCCTGCACTGATGCCCTCCGCTCTCTAGAGGAGCTAGAGATGCTAAATGGTGATGACTGATCGATGGTGAAAGAACAGACACGTGGCAGAGGCCTCGGAGCCGCGTGGAAATGGGTGAGTGGAACATGGGACTCTCTCGTGGTCAGAAATGGGGATGCAGGCAAAGAAGACAGAGAAAGAGAAAAGAAAGGTGTGAAAATAGAGACAGAAGAGGAGGAGAAGCAGAGGAAAGAGAAGGAAGAATAAACAAGGGAAGATGCTGCTTCTTCGTCTCCTTACCGTGTCTTTGGAGGACCTACGTCTCTTGATGCTGGAGGCCAGGGTGGTACTGATGGACCTAAAAGAGGCTTTCTTTTTGGGGTCGGGCTCTGCTCTACCACTTTTCCTATCCTAAAATAAATATATTTAGAGACATTATTCATGTTCTCTGGCTCCAGTGATAACCGTGGTTTCAGCCATTCTTTCTTCCCATTTCTTCCCCCCCCCCAAAAAAAATTTACCTTATTTTATATTGTCTAATTAGAGGGAGGGTCCTTGTGAGAAAGAATACAGCATTTGGAAATGTAAAATACACAAAGAGGGAGAAAGAAAGGGATAAAGCCTGTTAGATGTGAAAGTGGAAATAGTCTGTTTAGTTTGATATGAGGGTATTCATTTGCATTTTATGCAACATTATTACACTGGAACTGCACAAGATGGCACAGTAGTCCTCTAGAAATGTGCTGACACATTCACTTGGCACCTAGAAATGCATTGGAATGAGTGATGACTAATAAAGATGTCAGTGGATGTGATACCTACATTGCGCTACTTTAGGCATCTAAAATATTCTACCTGGACGCTCATGGTTGCTTGAACACATTCTTTACAATTGCAGCTTCCTCATCACACAGCGATCTTAAATTTAAAGACTAAACATGCCAAATCTGACTTTAGAAGATATCTAGAATTTAGATGGTACTCGATTCTGACATAGGTCAGAGCTCTAGAAAATATACTCAAGTATATTCCTTTCAAAACAAAAACAAATAAGTAAAGAAAAGAAAGTTTTGTTCATATCCAATTTGGTGCCCTCCCTCCCTCATACCATCAGAGTGCCCCACCGCTACTCTCAGCACAATAACTGCATATTTGTGTGCAAAAAAAAAAAACCCAAACTCATATTAAGGTATTCTTACATCCTGAGTCTCTAGAGAGGAAGAGGGCTGCATAGGGGGAGAAAAGAAAAATAAAATAAATTTCCATCCACTTGATCATTATTACTTTAAAGATCCTTAAGCAAAAGCCAAGGAAACCAAAAAGGGCAGATAAAAAAAAAGAATAAAATAAAATAAAATAGCAAAGCAAACATTCACATTCAAAGCCAGGCAGGTATAAAAAGTCAAGAAGCTACAGTCTCAGAGGCCACTAAATGCATATCAAAGAAGGAAAACGACAACAAAATTCAGTAAATAAAGCCCATTTAAATTCATTATACCTTAAACTGGTATAATGGAAATTCACCCCACACACAAGGAAATAGGATGGAATATGATAGCAAAAACAAACAAACAAAAAAAACTGAAGGAATGGTTACCTAGCGTAGCTGCAAAACAATACTCTTACTGTAAGCTAAAGTGCAATAAAGAAAGATTTCATGATCTAAAAAGATGGAGGCTAAAAGATGCTACTTCTGAAAAAGAAAGCGCTCTAACATGGATGTTAGGAAAACATAAGTGGAGGATGAGTGAGTAGTTGCAGGGAGGGAGGCCCGTGGGGTGGGCGGGGCAGTGTGGTGTGAATTTCACATGCCAAAGGTTTTATGGATGGAGGGAAGGAATAAAGGAGGGGAAACATAGAATAAGTAAACACAAAACAAATAGCATGACAAATCAACCCTGGCCAGCACTGGCCTCGCAGTACATCCTTTTTCATCAGGTCACATGACTAGGCTCTTTTAGGGCCGTTTGTGCCACCCATCACCCCACCAACCAGCACTTTCCTCTCAGCCCCCTGATGACATGATATCAGGTGGAGAGCAGACATTAGCTGGCATGGAGCATAGATGAAGGCTGGCAGAGGAGTGATTGGTGTGCAACATCACTTGATTTTACTGCAGGTAATAAATAGGTAGTAAATTTTTTTTTTCCTGTCGGAAGATGAAATTTCATGTTAGTAAATGATGAAAGTCAGCCTGTGTGACAAGCGTCTCTAATGGTATTTGTCTTGGTTCAGGAACAAATCATTGCCCAGGTGACTTCAGTTCTCTTCTTTTAATCTGGATTTTCTCCCCATTTCTTACACGTCTGAGACTGCAGGAGTGCAGACTGGCCGCTCTGAGCCCTGATGAGGTGCTGCGTGTGCACAGTCCCGGCCATGCAGGGCATACTACACCATCAGATGAAGCGTGGACTTGCTCAGTATACAGAAGCTGCCTGTTTCATGTCCGAAACAGAAGCAAGCTGTTGCAGTGTCATTATAGGCTACTGAATATCATCATTTTCATCACCATCATGGAACACGGTTTCTGACACTTTATTTTCATTCCAAAGTGATACTGTAGTTTCAGTCTTGTTCAGACAGTGCACTTCTGAGTAATATCTACTTTGAGAGGGAAAGCCAAAAGCAAGATGTGTACGGTAGCTTCTCTGTGATGTACATGTATGTATGCATATGTAATATAGTTACAAGCATTAAGAGGAAGTTACAAAATTGAATGAAAAAGTAAATACAGTATATTAAACTTGTATAGTTCATAAAAGACCAATATTGTTGGCCAATATTAACTCATGACAAATACTAGTGTGGATAACTGGTGTTTTTGGCTTCTAAACAGGGTAGAGAAGCCGGAATACCAGCGAAAGGGGCTGTAGATATCTCTGTGTCATATAAAGTTCACAAAAGATTCAAATTTTATTCAGATGTGGCAAACCTAAATATGAGCCTTCTGGATGCAATAGTGTCTAAAGTAAATGTGTTTATTTTGGTAACATTAGATGCCTAGCATGGTCATGATTTTACCTGTTGTGTTAATATGATTTTAATTTAGGAGCATATTGAGCTTGGTGTAATGTTACTGCTTTGTGTCACATTATCAGTAACAAGAGCATTCTACTGGACTGACAAGTTTACTTGTTAGTCAGCTAACACTAGCTTCCAACTGGAGGCTGCATTTTGTAGTTTGTCACAACCGGGCTTCGTAGTTTATGCTACCACAGGGCATGATGAGAGGGGCAAAGAGAGGTTAAGGATGGCATATGATGTCTGTTTTGGGTCTCACTAGACCCTCTAGTGGTTAAAAAGAAATTAGGTTGAGTTACTTTAAGTAGGGTGTAGTATGTGAACAGACTTAGAATAGTCAGAAGTGCACGTTCTCTGAGATTACATCCTTGTGTTGAAAGGTACAGTATGTAGGTGCAAAGTACTGCACAGTGCTTTGCATAATACACCAACCTGAGGCAGTATAAGCACTTAATTACATACAAACACATGTACAAGCAGTCAAAATGATGCCACACATGGGACTCCAAGTTTCAATGGTTGCTTTACTAAGGAAGGAGGAGGCCACATAAACTGTAAACTTGGGTTTTCCATTATTCGGAGTTTGTGTCCTTCTTAAGCATGTTTTCATTTTTTATTTATGAAAATTAGATCCCAGTGAATAATCAGATCAGTGCGCCCAAACAGTATGGATAATATTCACGCAGAACAGAACAGAACAGAACAGATTGTATCAGCTTGACTTGATGAACTCCCTCTGTGGTCCTCGCATGAGACCCTATAATGGCGGTTTTAGTTAGAGCGATGAAGGCCGTCTGAGTCTATGACTTTAGCTCTGGGGTCCACAGTAATGGTCAGTGAGGAAAATGAGCATGCCCGAGCTGTCTTTGTTCAGCAGTGCAGAGAAATCAATGTGATCATTGCTGACATGGAGCTAAAACGTGCTGGTCTATGGGCAGTTTAGTGTGTCCCTCTCCTTTCTCAGTGATACACTCCCCACCCCTCCACATGCATTCGCCTGCTGTATACGCCTAGAGAACGCACATCCATATGAGGACATTCACGACAGTTACATACAGTAATCGGGTCGATAGCAGACGCTCTCAGAAGAACATTGATTTGCTGACAGGCGCTTGTGATTTTATACTGTACCTTCCTTCAGCCCTGCTGTCTCTTTCAGCAGGGACAAACACTGAGCTTTGGTTCAAGGCTTACAGAGAAGGCCACATCACAGACTCAAAGTGTGATTGGCCATCAGACGTTGAGCCCTTGTACTTCCCTCCAAACTATCCAATCACGGAATTAAACCATAAAAAACCAAGTAAAAGTGTGTAAAAGTGTGTGTGTGTGTGTGTGTGTGTGTGTGTGGAGGCAGATTGTTCACAGCCATATCCGATGGAGGTACATGGGCAAATCATGTTCTTCATCAGCTGTGTGGAGAACTGATTGCTCGATTGTAGCTTAAAGGCTCAGTTCGCTCAGATTTATTTTACTTGTGGTATCTCATAGTTGATGACAAATTCTCCTGGAAATCTCATATCAAAAATGTTCAGCACAAAATAGCAAAAAATATATCGATATTGGCAAGGGTTAAATATATTTTGGATGAGAAAGCACTATGCATTTTGTATTCTTCATTGATCTTACCATACTTGAAGTATGGCGTTGAAAACTGGGGAAATACATACAAAAGCTCACTACAACCATTGTATATATTACAAAAAAGAGCAATAAGAATTGTGCATAAGATGGGGTATAGGGATCACACCAATGGAGCTTTCATACAGTCTAAATTGTTAAAATTTTT